ACGGTCTGAAGAGCCCAGGCATCTGAGGTTGTGGTTTCCCATTGGCGGACAAAGGTGGTTAAGCGCCCGCCAATAGGGCCATCCTCTAGCGAGTCACCGGTACCTACGAAAAGTCCAGTTGTTGGTGGCACAAAAGGGTCGTGGGCCTGGGCCTGCTGTTGGTGCTGGTTTCTACCTCTGTCCCTAGTATTGGTTCTGTCCTGAAACCTCTCCTCGGACTGAGAAAAGGATCTATTAGATATAGGGAAGTAAGGGAGGGAGGAGTACTCCCCAATACGAAAGGGCTGCCTTTGAGGATACGGTTGTTGCCTTGTAGCGGACGAAGGAAGTACCTTTCGCTTGTCCCTTGTTTCAATAAGTATAGGATCCAGCGCTGCTCCGAATAGGGAACCACCCTTGAAGGGGGTGGAGGCAAGGCACCATTTGGATCATACGTCCGCCTGCCATTGGTGCAGCCATAACAGGCGACGAGATGCTATGTTGGATGCCACAGCTCGGCACACGAACTTGGCCGCATTGAGCGTGGCATCCGAAGAGAATTCTAAGGCCGCCACCAGTTTGATCACATCCTGATGAAGGCGCAAATCCTCTGGACCTCTCCTGTAGTTGTCTTAACCAAACTAAGGAAGTTCTATTGAAGAACGAGGCCGCCGTAGCAGCACGCAATGCCCAGGCAGCCGCCTGGTGCATTTTGCAAATAACGAGTTCCGCCTTGTGGTCCTCAGCCTTCAATCCCTCCAAAATCTCGGATGGAATGAGGGCTGGGGAAGACAAGGCCGTTATCGGTGGATCAACAGTGGGAAACTGCAAAATGGTGTCCAATTCTGGAGTGGAAGAATAAAGCTTTCTATCACCATTGCTAGGGGCCGAGACTGTGGTGGGCTGGGACCATTGTTTTTAGATTACGTCCAGAAACAATTTGGGTGATGGAATAGCCTCTTGTTCTTGTACTTGTTCAGCAAACAAGCATTCCGTGGGATCAAGGCCCACATCCATACTGGCCTGGGTGGTTGCTCCCCCCAAATTGGAGGTGGCCTTGGCTTTATAAAGTAGAGATTTAAATAGGGCTGGTCTGAAGAGGCTCGAAAAAGAAACTTTATCCTGAATCAGACCTTCATCATCTGATAACTCTAAATCCAAAATCTCACCTTCCTCCCCTAAAACAGACCCCTCGCTGTAAATGGAAGGCAAGGGAGAAGGGGGATCAGCCTGAGAGGTGGCTACATCTCTAGCAGAAATCAAATTTCTAGAGCGTTGACTCCTATGCTGTAATTCTGCATCCACTCCCCTAGATATGGCAGTGGCAATCATGTCCCTGAGCCCAGGGGAGAGGTCAAATCTGAAGTATCCTCTGATCTGCTGCCAGCAGCCGTGGGAGTAAAGGTGGCTGAGGCCCCTGAACGGGAGGGGCCTGGGCCTGGGCTGGGCTCAGAAGGATCAGACGAGCCCTGAAGGCCTGAGTCGGGTCCTGCAGTTGTAAGATCCTGAGGGAGAGGGAGGTCTGGGGACCAACCTGAATTCCAGTTAGGCCGGAGGTAGAAGGCCCTTCAGGCAGCAGGATGGGAGGTGGCCTGGGGACTGAGGGATCCCTAGACCCGTTCTTGGTCTTACTGGTGCACTTAGCGGCCCTGGCAGGAGCCACTGAAGTGGCACAGGATCTGTGGCTGGTGACCCTGGTGGTGGTCCTACCCACTCTAGATGGGACCCCAGTGGCATCAGAGGACAACTGAGGAGAGGTGGAAGCCCCAGCGCTGCCCCCGGTAATAGAACGATCCGCCATGTAAGCTAGGTTGAAAAGGCTCAAGCTCACGTTCACTGAAATACCAAATGCCGATCGCAATCGAAGCAGGAGGCTGTGAGAGATCAAAATCGTGCTCCAGTAGAATGGTGGCGAACCGATCTGCATGGAACAATGAATCTGGTGATTTTACGTCACTGCGGGCGGGATAATGAAGCCACACCCAGCCAGACTGTTTGTCAGCATGAAAAGGGCTCCAAAATGGCCCACGCGACCAACAGTGGAGGTGGGAGATTCAAATCGGTGAGGTATAAAGACTGCCGCCAGAATGGAGAAAGCCTACCTTGTATCTTGCCAGTGACCGCAGCCGTGGCTTCCAGTGGCTCTCGAGGTCGAGGTAATACAGGGAGCCCAGCCATGTGGCGATGGGGACATCCAGGCTCCACACATCACCAGGCAACCTCGGGGGGAAGGAGGGGGCGACGGACAGCGGCTAGAGCGGGTGGCGCGGGGCGGCGAACCGATCCCCAGCCGCGGCAAGCCAAAACGAAGGCGGCGAACCGACCTTCCCACAACAAACAACGGCACGTCCTCGCCTCCAAGGAAGAGGTTCCCTGGCCCCGAAGGGAACAGACCCTGCCAGTTATATTGCCAGTTATTAAACTGATTGAATAAAATGGCTTGAGGCCTTTGGGAAGAACACCGATCTCCGCCCCCCTATTTTATGCGATTTCATAGGCACTATATGGGTGTTGTTGCATATGAAAATATAGATGTTGAAAACCACAGCCCACTGAGCTGCTCATATCATACTTGGTGGCTTTGATATAGTAAGTTTGCTTATAAATATTTTGTCAACTTTCTGGTCTGAAATTTGCACAGTGGGCATGGATAGCCCCTCCGCCCGAGTAATATACCAGAAAGAGTAGAACCACTGGATCTGCAATAAGCACACCTTGGTGCAGGATTCAGTTCAGGAAAACCTTTTCAACGATAAAACACTTCATACTGGAACCAAGGACTTAGTTATAGATTTATTGTACAACTGGGCAGAGAGTATGTTTAATTGGACCATAAAGAGTACGTCCCAACTGAATAAAGAATAAGATGAGATTAGGGAGGTTGTTCTCCAGAACCAGCATGCTCTAGACCAGTGGTAGTCAACCAGGTCCCTACCACCCACTAGTGGGCGTTCTAGCTTTCATGGTGGGCGGTAGGGAATTGTTGTAACTCTGCTTTATAAATTTTATAAAGTAAAGTTACTTCCCTACTTTATAAA